TATATATATACATACATAGATACATAGGTACATAGATACGTAGATGCATAGGTATATATGCTTAGACACATAGATACATACAGAGATAGTGCAATACCAGTGGGACAAACACTTGTAGATCAATTAGCCAGGTCTAAAATATCACCAATATACATACTCAGCGAAGAAACTCGTGAAACTGAACGACGAACAGAAGTGTTTCGTGTGTGTGGACACTGCTTAAAAACGCCCACCAGATGACGGGTCATACTCTTTCGTTCGCCCGACATACTTGGTGTGTCATCGTATGGGAAAGAAAAAGTGGTGATTGAAAGGCAATTTTAAGCGAAAGACGACAACGTAGAAAGGCCCTGCTGTAGATCAGCGTGCTGCTATGGTAGTCAGCGATTATGAGAGTACGGACGACAAAGAGCTTTAATTCATTCAAGACAGCTGAATTAAATATGCATATGCATTCTATATTAAGCTTTGATTAATAGTGTGTTTCTATGTATATGTACTGCATGCATGCACGTATGTATGTATGTATGTATGTATGTATGTACGCGTTTATATATAATTATTAATGAATGCAATATGTACGTGTATATATGTATTTATTTATTTATACATGTATGTGTGTTTAGATTACATGTATGTATGTATGTATGTATGTATGTATGTATATGCATACTTGTATGTATGTATGTATGTATGCATCTATTTATGGGATTTAGTGTGTCTCTGTATGCATGGCTTTTAGAATCTGTTGTATGTATATATATATGAATGCATGTATGTATGAAATGATATAGGTATGTATGTATGCATGTATGTATGTATAAATATTAGTATGTATTTATGTATGCCTGTATCTATGTATGTATTATTTTAACAATGTGTGTATGTATGTATATGTGTATGTTTTTACATATTTAACAATTTATGAATGTAAGAGTGCAATGTATATATGTACGTACTAATTATTAATGCATGCATGAATATAATATATATATATATATACATATATAAGGGATTGCATATATACGTATATATATATACATATATTAGGGATTGCATATAT